AGATATTTAAATTCGAAATCAAACCATCAATCACTCGAAGCAAAATCCATCCACCCTCCGCAACAGTTTGCCGAGGTGGACAAATTCAAATTTACTTCAGCTCACAAAAGAGCCGAATGCCTAGTCGAAAATATCACTAGGATCCATTCTCAAGATAATCTCATGCTATTAAGGACGTGGTACGTGTCCTCTAACCGGCAGTTTTGCCGCCAAATGGCACTGCAGGTAAACGGTTATGACCCTGGGCCCTCTGAACCGAGTGGTTTTGCCGCTAAATGGCACCACGAAATACCGGTTATGGTCAGCGCCGTTACGTTCCTTATTAGCATTAAATCATTGAGATATGAATCAATAGGATATGATCGATAGGGCACAAAGCCCTCTGTCAGCTAAGGTGGATTCAAATTTGTCCCCTTAGACAAACATCCAACCCCGGTCTACAAGGTCCCCTTGGACGAAGCAACCCATGGCTGCCAACAAGGATCCTTCTGTCAGGTTGGGTCGACTACCTCCTCTGACTAAGTAGACCAGGGACCACGATGGCCCGGGACGACGGAACCATGGGATCTTGATCGGGCCCATCATCCATCCTCCACCATCCGCTTTAAGTGCAAGATGGTGCAATTTCTACTTTAAATATAAAATCTTCAAATGACTAGCCTTAATCGAAAGTTCTCTCTCGTGATTGGGAGGGGTAATTAACTATAGGGGCTTGCGCCTATAGGAAACCAGAACTCAGATCATAAAGTCCTCGCCAATGAGGGCGAAATCTCTGGGTAGTGTCTTATCTACAAACCCATCTGCCTTCCAAAATTTATCCCGGAACTTAGTTCGTTAAAACTCCCTCGCCGAATAAGAAAAGCGAGCGGAGGCCGAGGCCGAATTTTTGGAGCCCACAAACCCTTGCCTATTTAACACTGCACCCGGGCGTCGGTGCAGCGGCCCTTGCACACTTGCCTATTTAACACTGCACCCGGGCGTCGGTGCAGCGGCCCTTGCACACTTGTCACTGTATTCATGCCATACAGCGCGTCGCTTCCAGGGGGTGCCATAGCTTTAACACAATTTCTTAAAGGATTCATGTCATTATTGTTCGACAAATTTTACGCTGGCTGTCGACTACCTAACGCAACCCTCCACTTTTCTCATCCAGGACTTGGGACCTGGCAACGACAGTGTTAATGTTAGTCTATGTCTAATCTTCATTAATTGGAATCATCTCGTATATTAAGATGTATTAACGAGCCTGAAATTAAAATTAAGTTCAAAACCCAATTTTGAAATTGAACCTGAGTATAGTATCAATTTTGAAATTAAAAATTTTATTTGGGATGACTTTCTTACTGCTTCTTAAAGAAGCTTTCTAGTAAAAAATAAAAAAAATTTGTATTAAAAAGCTACTTTAAGAAGTAGTAAGAAAATTGTTCCAAATGAAGCCTGAATCTTAATTAGAAACTGAAGTTGAAATTGAAATTGACCAATGGTCATATTTGAACATAAATTGCAAATTGAATCTGATCTTCTTTATGAATCTTAACTTCTAATGTAAATTGATTATACTTTTTAATATGAACCTGAGCTTCTAATAGAAATTAGCTCAATTCTTGAATGTGAACTTGAAAAAAACCAAGCCTTCTGAAATTGATAAACAAATCGAGGAATTTGATGCTCTACTCCTGATGGAGTTTCTATTGAAGTTATCACTACAAATCAAACTGAAATTAATTTTGTTTTTGATTAGTTTTTTTAACTCACAAATTCATTAAAACCCTTAGGGAGAAATTGAAATTATTTCAGCATTTTGACAAAATTTTATGTGAATTCCTTTCCTTTAAGTGTGGCGTGTGAATTCTTTTAAGTGTGGTGCAAATCTTTATAATTACTTATGGTTGAAACTTTCTACCAGCATTAAGCTTGGTTTCTCTCCAACCCATTTAGTTTCTTGAATGCACAAAATATTTAATTTCTTATGAATCATAATATCTATTAATTCCATTAATTTTCCTGTAAGGGAACCTATATTCCAAGTTCTTATCTTAATTTTAGTTTCATGGACTAGCTTCTTTGCCTACATTCGTCCTTGATGTGGGAACCCTTGCCTATTTAACACTGCACCCGGGCGCCGGTGCAGCGGTACAATATATTTTTTCCTTCTTGCATTGTGAATTGTAATCATTGTGTGGTTTTATTTTGATATCAAATTTCTTGCAAAAACTTAATTTTGATGATCTTCAAATTATCATTTGCAGTGAGTGTTATGTTATTTTTTATTTGTATCAATTAAGTGTTGGTGATAGTGAATCTTGATCTTGTGATGTTCTTGTACACTGCATCTTAGATTTGTATCAAGGAAATGCTGGACCGCTAAGACATCTTGCATCGTTTAAAAACTTCAAAAATATACTTGCTTACTTAGATTTTTGTTAAAATTTTCTCCTCTTACATATTTTTGTAAAACATTAACCAACATTACTGATGTGTTGATTTTTTCAAAATTCTCACCAAATTATATATACATGCAGGGTTCTAGCTAACCGGCAATCTGCAGCTCGGTCAAAAGAAAGGAAGGCACGCTATATATCTGAACTTGAGAGGAAAGTTCAGACGCTACAAACTGAGGCTACAACACTATCTGCACAGCTTACGCTTTTCCAGGTTTGTGTTGTATGGCTTCTATGTATAAAGGAATTCATGTTTGTTTATCTATTTGTCTATTATGCTGATGAAATCAAGCATCTAATGCATTTGCCAGGAAGCTACTATTACGTAAAGAATTGATATTCATTGCTTCCATTGTGATTATTACTGAACACTAATGTTTCAAAAATCTTTATTCTTTAATTGCCTAGATGAAAGAAAATGAAAAATTCATTCGTTAACTTAGCCTTCAGATAGAACCATCTTGAAAGTTGTTTCAACTTCCTTTCCCTCTGTTCCACCTTTTTACTTTACTGCAATTCATTCATTGTTTTGAGCTTAGACTGCCCCTCAGCATTCTTCACTCGTATTTTCTGGCAACGCTTTTGATGGGTGCTGGTTTCGTTGCTTCAACTATTTAATGTGACGGATTTTTCTATTATTTATGTGTAAGAAACCGAAGTGAATCCTAGACTTCATGCATAAAATATGAGCCTGTTGACCAAATGATCTCTTCTCCAAGTTTGTTTACTTATTTATCAACTTTAACTTTCATGGATAAGTTTGATGGTTTTACTTGCCAGTACTAGATGTGGAAGAGTTGTTCCAATTTATGTCCAACTAAGTATTGTTTTGGATTCAGTTTGAGGGAATCTCTCATATTGAAACAAAAAAACTTTTGAGTCTTCTTTAACACAAGATTACTCATTGAATTAGAAGTTTAGCCAAGAAAATTAGTTTGCTCTGTATGAAGTTAGGAACAGGAAACCAAAATCCAAGTATAAGAAAACAGTAACGATAGTCTGAGATTGCAAAGTAGATCTGAACTTAGGTTTCTCTAATCCTTAACCAACAAATCCTACTAACATTAGCCATGAAGCCATAGCTTACAATTTTGGTGATAGAAAAGTCATATTCGTTTCTTCTTTAAGCTGCTTGGAATCAATTTCAAGGTGTCATGCTAGTTGAGCCATACATTAAAGTTATCAAGTGGATTAGTCGAACTAAGGCTGTGAAAAATCTTGTTAGTGTCAAAGAATCAATTTGATCATATGGCAGAAAATCAACTGAAATGGAAATGAATTTTTAAAAAGAAAATTAATGTAAAGTATAAACAACTTCAAAAGATTCTTCATGATTTTTAATAATCTTAAAAAAATATATGATCAAGTATCATTGAGATTGATTTGTTGAGCATCAAGGAGACAAAGGAGCGTCAAAGGTGTCTTGAGATTATTAAATATATGCATGATGAAGGATTGATTAACACTAAACTAAGTTGAGTGGCCAAAGAGTTTTTTATTTTGTATTTGGGCATGCAAAATATAAGGTTGAAGATGCACCAATAATGAGGTGCGTCGATAGAATTAAATCAAGGAATATGAAGGTTGAAGTGCTAAGGCAAAGGTAATATGAATAGATTAAAAAAAAAATTAAAAAAAAAAATAAAAAAATAAAAATAAAAAAAAGTTAATATGGATAGACGCCATGACAGATGACTTCTTAAGCTCGAGTTAATATGAGCTTACTTCTGCAAACAAAAATGAATAGGCTAATGATGTTTATGATGTTGGTGAGCCTACTTGAGCCTGTCCCATAACTTACGCCATCTCACTATGCCCAAAATATTTTAAAATGGTTTTCAAGTTAAGCAAAAGTTTTAATCCTTGAATTCTTTTTTTCAGCTTTATTTTCATTGGATGCTTCCATTTTATTAAAATCCAAGTTCATTTTCCTACTTTTCATCTTTTGATTTTAAAGGCTAAATACATTTTCACTGTCTTTGCTTCTCTCTTTAGAGAGACACTACAGGGCTGACTGCAGAGAATGTAGAGCTCAAGTTAAGGTTGCAAGCTATGGAACAAGAAGCCCATATAGGTGATGGTAAGAACTTCGTGATTTTCATCTATTAAGTCATTAAATAACAGATTTCTTTTGGCATAGTATGTCATCTGTTCTATTGTAGCTTTACATGTGTGCTTCGCTTAAGTAGCAGACACTAGGTGTATTATTTGGACACATTTCTAAACATTAATCGTAGTAGATCTGTTACGGTTCAACCCAAACCGGCCTTGGTGGGGCCGATTCAGATTTATAGGAGGCAGGCTAAGCCACCTCCTTTAGTTCTCACCGCCTAAGTAAGTGGGCCCCCTTCTTGGGCGGCAATCATAGAGAGGGAGAGCGGGCGGTTCAAGCATGAGCAGGTCAATTTGATTTTGTTTTATATTAGGAAGCTTTTATGAGGAGGGAGGCTTTTTTTTTTTTCTTTTGCGGTGAAGAAACCAATAAAAATAGGAGGGAGGGTATTTAAAAGCATGAGAAGCTAGTGTTAGGGTTTATGCTTTGATTTGTTTCTCTTGTAGTTCCTTGGTGTCTTGGGCTCTAAACTTCGTGTCTAGAGATTGGGAGAGAACGATCCTCCTCTCGAATTGAGGATCACTTGTATCTTGCTTGGTGTTTGTTTGGCTTTGATTCCCTTCTTGTAATCCATCATTTTTGGACTGATTTCACCCAGATTTTTGCATTATTCTTGTTGTTTTCACTAATTAGTGATAGGTTTTCTTGTGAACTCAAGTGTTTCCTTTAGGGTTACCTGCAAACTCAAGTATTTACTATCAAATTGGTATTTAGAGCGTTGTCTTGGGACCATCGGCGGTTGAAATTCTGAAATTTCAGTTGTGAAATTTTACCCGGAATAAGATCTTTTAATAAATATTGGGGAGAGTTATGGCCGGGAAGAAGATTGAAGTTTTGGAAGGAGAAATTGGGCAATTAAAATGAGATTTGAAGGGAAAATTTTTCTGATTTTCAAAATCAGATTTCATCCAATAATGAAAGGGTAGAAGGGAAGTTTACCATGATGAAAGAGATGTTGAAGAAATTGCTAGAAGTGAAGACTAATCCGGGGACATCAGAAGGAAGGGAAAACATCGGTGACATTGGAAGAGGAGGAAACCCTAACATTTTTAGGGGAAGGGAAAATTCGGAAGTGCAGATCTTGGAGGGTGAAGATGGAATGCCTCCTCTAGAATCATTTTCTAGGGCGGAGATGAGCACTAGTTTTGAAAGAAGGGCTGTTGATTTTATAGGGAGAAGGGAGGAATTCTACCCCAGAGGTGTTGAATTTGAAAGAAGAAGAGGGGATTGGGTTGGGTACTTGGGTATGATAGCCGGAGGGAAGATCGTGATAACTAGGAGCCCCTCCTCTTCGTGGAATGGGAGGATATGGAGGATTCAGGGGAAACGGGGGTGCCCCAAAGGTGAGGAAGCTGAAGATGCACATCTTTGAGAGCAATGATGGCCATTGTTGGATCTACAAGGTGGAACTATATTTAAACCGTCAACGGATTGACGGAGGAAGAAAAGCTGACGACGGCAAGCCTATGTTTGGAGGGGAAGGCACTGGCGTGGTACCAATGGTATGATACAAGGCAACCGATCAAGAGTTGGAGGGAGTTCAAAGAGTGTTTACTAGAACGTTTCTGAACAGGTAGTGGAGGAGACTTCTATGAACAATTCTTTGGCTTAACACAGGAGGGGACTGTGGCAGATTACCCTGACAGTTTCGAGTACTTGGCCAGCAGATTGGACCGACTCTCTGAGACAGTGCTGGAAGGGAATTTTATGAAAGGGCTTAAATTGGAGATACGGGCAATGGTTTGAGTGATGAGGCCAAGAGACCTAGGGGAAGCTATGGAGCTAGCCCAACTGGTGGAGGATCAGAAGTAGCTGGAGAGAGGGGCGAGGGGGAGCAACTCGGTGGGATCGTACAGGTGACCACCACCTTCTTAGCTCCCAAGTGGTCACCGCCAAGGAGTTTGAAGAAAGTGCCCAAGGAGAGAACATGAGTAGGGGGAAATGGGGGAAGTTTCAAAAGGCTAACAGAGAAGGAGATACAATAGAAAAGGGTGAAGGGGCTGCTTTTTAGATGTTATGAGAAGTATATACTAGGGCATAGGTGTAAGGATCGAACTCTTTGGGTTCTCACTGTCTGTGATGACGAGGAAGCTGGAGAGGGAGGTGGAAGCGGGTTAGAGATAGAGAAAGAGGAGAAGTTGCATCTGAATGTGGCAGAAGTCTCTCTAAACTCAGTAGTGGGATTCACCCCGAATTACACTTTGAAGGTGAAGGGAGAGATAATAGATTGCGAGACGATAGTGTTGGTAAATAGTGGGGCAACCCACAATTTCATCTCCAACCAGATTGTTGATTTACTGGAGGTGAAATTAGTGGATACAAGAGGCTACGGGGTGATGATGGGCACGAGAAAGGTAGAAATGGGTAGAGTTTGTAGGGGAGTTATGTTGACCATGTAGGGGATACATGTGAGGAAGGATTTTCTTTCCTTGGAGTTGGGGAGTATGGATGTCATCCTGGGGTTGAAATGACTACAAACCTTGGGGGAGACCAAGGTAAATTGGGGAGCATTAAGGATGGAATTGGTAGTTGTGGGAAGGGGACTGGTGATTCAGGGTGATGCAGGGCTGTCCAGGGTCGGAGTATCTCTCAAATCCATGATCAAAATCATACAAGAGGTGGGGGAGGTGGATATTTGGTGGAATTGCAACACTTGGAGAGGATCAGTGTGGGAGAAAAGGGAGACATTCCTCTTATAATGCAACCACTCATACAACAGTTCAGTGATGTGTTCTAGTTACCTCAGGGTTTACCACTACCCAGAGAGCAGGAGCATGCAATTCTTTTAAAAGAGGGGTTTGACCGATTAATATACAACCTTACCGCTACCCCCAAATTCAGAAGGATGAAATTGAAAAAATGATTCGGGAGATGTTGGAAGCGGGGATTATCAGACCAAGTGTGAGTCTTTTATCTAGTACAGTCTTACTGGTCAAAAAGAAAGATGGGAGCTGGAGGTTTTGTGTAGATTATAGGGCATTGAATAAGGAGATGGTGTTGGATAAATTTCCCATTCCTCACTTAAGTTCTTGGTCAATCACAATTTGGCAATCCATCTTCTAAGCTAGGAGTGATCAACATATATTCTCTTATCTAGAGGGGGAGTGTAGAAGCCATCATGCCCCACATTGGCAATCTATCACCTTTTTATCTTCCATAAGCAATCTGTCAACTAGTATCCTTATATGCAAGCGAGCGGGCGGTTGGGCATCTCTCTCTCTCTCTATCTCTCTCTCTTATTTTCTTATCCTTTATTTATCACCTCGTTGTTTTGTTGCTTGCTCACTTGCACTCTTATTTGCATAAGCCCAAATGCACGCTTCTCTTCTAATGAGAGCAAGCGATACTATTTGACCAATAATAAGATGAAGCCACAAAACTAATTAGCAATTCATTCTTCGTTTGGACTGCTCGTTTATCTTTTATATTTAGACCTGACCTGAACGTAAATATATACGCTCAATAGATCATAATATGTTAGGCAACTCGAGATTTTGCATACATTTGGTTACAAATGTACATTAATTTACCAGGGTTTAGTTCATTCATCAAATAAATTATTGAAGAATGATTAATAATTCAACCCATTAGTTTATCTTATCATCCCATTTATTAAACTTAAACTATATGAGTGCAACTCGGATTGTCAGGCTATGAGAGAGTTGCATGAATGATTATTTTGAAGGATATCAAGAACATATTGTTGATGTGAGGGAGAATCTATGATGTACCGACACGGACACGGCGACACAGACACGACACAACACGGGACACGACATTTTTTAAAAATATAGAATACGGGTGCGGCGTGGACACGATATAATAATTTTTTAATATAATATATAGAAATTAAGGTGACATTATATTAAAAATGACAAGCAATAATAAATTAATTTCATGATAACTTCTTTAGCTTATAACATAAAGATGTTTAGTACAAAATGTCTAGTACAACAAAAAAATATAAGCAAAAAATCATTTAGTACAACATGAAGGTCCAACTACTCAATAGAGGGAATAATAGAATTAGATTCAGATGTTGGTCTTTGGCCTTCAATATCATCATCATTGAATATCATTGCTTCTAACTCTAGTTCATCTAGAGAAAGATTTGCAACCTCCAATAATCTCATATCATCAAGGCACTCGAACTCATCTCCAGCAACATCCCACATCTTGTTATCACCTGCCCTATAAAGTAGGGTTTTCCTTGATAGAAGACGAAGATTTGTATGCACATAAACTAAATCTTCTGCTCGTTGTGGAGTTATTTTATTCATCTTCATTGATTGAATAAATAAGTATGTGCTCCAATTTTTCTCACAACAGGAAGAAGATGATACTTGACAAAGAAGTTTTATTGGTATTGTTTGAAGAAGCGGTGCTGAAGTTCTCTATGAATCAATCACCACATTTTTGGATCAATTCTCCATCTATCAACCAAAGATTCTTGATCACTAAAATCCTCTAAATATTCAAAGAACTTTGTAAGTTCTATATTAATTTTTCTTCTATCCTCATTTGAGAAATATCTTTTCAAGCATATCTTTCTCATATTTGAAATTTTTAAATCTTTTTGTGGTGAGACACGTTGATGATTTTCTTGAAGTCATTCTTTATTTGAATACCTTCAAATAATACAAAGCATATAAAATTATTTGTTCATTTACCAAGAAATTTAAATTAATTTAAAAGTGTACATTGGATTTAATGAATGTGCTAAACAATGCAGAGGTGTGTTTCTTTTGCTCCACCTATCTTTAAGAATGGTATAGATAAGGCTCCAAAAACTTGTGTCTTCTTCATATGACTTTCTTTCATGTACGTATATAATTTCTTTCACTTTTGCTAACATAGAGTCCCACATCTCATAAATCAAATGTAAGCATGATTTATCTGTGTCAGCCTCTCTCAACATATCATAGTAGTCTACATTATCTCATCACAAATCATCTAAGACTTTTTCTTTAACATACCTTGCCTTCCCAACATCTTCTTCTCGATAGCAAAACCACTTCTCACTAATCACCACAGATTGAAGAGTATTTTTAATTTCTTTAAATCTTCTCAACATGATTATTACAAAGGCAAAACGAGTTTCAGTAACAGCTAACTTTCTGAAGTGGAAGAAATCATTAAATATTGAAAGTCTCATCGAATGATTCATAATAAAATTTCTTATCAAAATAGCATTATCTACAACCACTGTTATCCAATGACATTCAACATAGATGATTTCATTAGTCTCTATATTCTTTGTTGCACAAATATTTTTTTAAATCAAGATTTAAAGTGTGCACAATATATGGTGTCCAAAATATATGGTGATAAATTTGCTCCACCAATAATGTTGCAGCTCTACACACCGGTGCATTATGTGTAATAACCTGCACAACATTTGAAGGCCCAATCATGACTATCACCTCTTTAATCAAATTGGCAATGAAATGTTTATCCTTGTATTCTCCTTCACAATTCACAGCTTTAATGAACATTGGGTACTTCTCTATAACGGTCATGAAATTAATAAGGGGTTTTCTTTGAGGATCTGTCCAATCATCACATACCAAATTAACACCTTTTTCTTTTCACAATTTTTGTTGGTTCAAGCAATGTCTCAATATGTGCTTTTTCCCTTTCCAATAATTTCGATCTTAATGCATTATAGCCAGGTGGAACATATCCTACAAGGTTGTTGCTACATGCAAAAATGAATGCATTTTTATAATGAGGATTCCTTGCAAAGTTGAAAGGAAGTTCCGCTGAAAAAAAATATCCTTGTTATTTCACCATCCAATTCCACTCATTGCTACAAATTAAAAGCCTTATGTAGAGGACTACTGACAACTCATTTTCTTTTCTTTGTTTCATATCCTTCACTTCTAAATGATAAAGCTTGATCAACTCTCATAGATTAGTATGAAGTGTGGGATGAGCATGAGTTGATGACAAAGGTATCTCTTTAGATAGTGTCCTTTTGATCCTAGATTCAGCTTCATAAACTTGCCTATTCAATTCAATCAACTGCGACGTAGTAATCTTAGGACAAATTTTAATTTCATGGCCAGAAATCTTAAGTAGATGTGCCTTCACCCTGGAATAAGATCCTTTGTAGGTGCCACAATAATAATTGCATTTGATGACACATTCCCTCCCCCTTCAAATATTTTTTCTAACTTTGTAACATGAATCCATAATTGTTTATCAGTTCTACAGATGGCTCTTTTGAATCTTCACCTAATCCACTCCCACTAGCAGCAGAGCTCATTTTGCTTTAAAATACACTAGTGTAATAGAAGAAAAAATTCTTAACAAATTAGTTGACATATTTTAAAACATTTAAAACATTATGTCATAGATTATATGACATGTATGACAAAGTAGACATGTGTATTTAAAACATTATGTCATAGATTAAATGACACTAACTCACTGGTGAAATATATTATATGACACTAACAAATTAGAGCTTGGTGTCTATTCCTCCTAAATCATAATTGATATTCTCTATTTGAATTACTATCCTTCAACATAGAAATTATAGTTTCATTTATATCTTGATTATTCATTGTTTTTATCTAAATAAGATTGTAACAAACCAATCATACATAGGAATACATCAAGTTAAATTGATATGAAGTGAAATCAAAATATCCCAATAATAAGACAACATGAATACAACAATATACTAATCTGTCGGGGGTCCAAGGGGGAATTTTTAGGTAAGAGTAATTTTGAAGTTATGCTTGTTTTTAAAGTTCGCAAGTTGTTTGTATGGAAAGATATCGAGCGGTACTGAGTGGTACCGAGCGGTACCGAGCACGTACTGAGCGGAACCGAGCACGTACTGAGCGGAACCGAGCACGTACTGAGCGGTACCGAGCATGTACTTAGCGATACCTAGCGGTACCGAGCATGTACATTAGCTTTTTTTAGTAAGTTTCAAAAAACAATAATTAATATTTCAATTAATCTAGACATTTTTAACAATGAAGAGAAGAAATGGCGAAATCCACTTACAGGTCTTGGCTCTCTTGCTCGCATAAGGTGCTCTGTTTGGCGTTGATTGTGAACTTTACCTCGGATGACCGTAAAAATCACGCAGGAACGAAGGAATGGGAAAGACGAGTTCGGCTTGGCCTCGGCTCGAGCACAAATGGCGATGGAACGGGAGGTGAAGGCAGCAGGTTCCGTTTGGCGTCGGCTGCGAGCTCGCCTGGTCTGCCCTAAAAGATTTCTTTCATGGATCGGAAGAATAGGACTTCTCGTTCACGGAAAAGGCTAAATAGAACGAATCAGATGATTTTATTATTTAATAACCGGACACGCGTGTCCAGTTTTAATTTTAATTTTTTAAATTACGACACTCCAATTCCGTGTCGGACACGTGTCCATGCAGTGTCGGACGCGTGACTGTGTCCGACACTGCATATTCTCTTTAAGCGGAGTGTCGGTGCATCATAGGGGAGAATCATAAATCGGATTGAAAAACAAATTTGAGAGAATAGTTCTCCTTTTCCTTACGTGTTGTTCTTTTCATTCCTAGGAAACTATCTTTGAATAAGTTTGCTAATGAAACATGTTCGCATTTTTTTCCTCCTTCCAGCACTGAATGGAGCTCTAAAGCACGAGGTTGCAAGGCTCAAGATTATAACAGGAGAAGTATCAAGCTCTGGTGAAGCCAACAATCTGGAGCGACTTCCCATACCATTCAACCCCTCATTCTTTGCAACTCCCCAACAACAGACGAACTTACCCTACCAAAACCTCCAATTGCATCCCGCTTTCCATCAGCTCAGTGCTACAAACCATCACTTACTTTCCCGCCCCCCTCCTCTGCACGCAGATATGATGCAGCAGGATCACCTCAGGAGACTTCAGGGATTAGATATCGGCAAGGGGTCTCTTTTAGTGAAGTCCGAAAGCTCTACCGTCTCTGCAAGTGAGAGCAGTAGCAACTTATAAACTGGGCTTCCTAAAACCATCTGCAGTAGACCTCACTGTCCATAAACCCTACAACCTCAATCTTCCTCCACCATTTGTGTTTCTATTTGATTGGCTTGAATTGTATAAGCCGTTCCATATTTATTTCAAATACTTGGTTACTCAATGTTCTCCCACTTTACCGAGCTTCTAAGTTCACTTGTTCCTGTGGTTCGTGTTGTTTTCTTGTTCTTTTGATCTAATTCTTTTTATTTGTTGATTTGTATTTCAGTTTATTAAAGATGGCAGCTTCTTGATATTGTTCATTAGGCTTATTTTTTTCTCATACTGTACCTGGATATCTGACCGTTTACATGGATTTATGACAATGACAATCTTGCCAAGAAATTGCTGAGCTGCAGCTTATGCTATATTGTTTACTCTTTGTTGCAAATTCTATCACTTTTTAGCGTTTTATTTCAATTCAAAAGTTTGTTTTGAGTTTTGTAAAATATAATCTAGTCAAAGTCTTAGGTTTTATTTGGGTCAACTTTCTTGGTGCTTTCTAAATAACTTTTTAATACCAAAAAAAATTATTAAAAATTTATTTTAGAAAGCAGATAGAAAGTCGTCTCAAATGAAGCCTTAGGTTTCGTTTGGGACGGCTTTTTTATTGCTTTCTAAAACGGAGTTTTAGTACAAATTTTTTTATTTTTTTATTAAAACTCTATTTTATAAAGCAGTAAAAAAGCCGTCCCAAATGAAGCCTTAGTTACATGTTTTTTAAGAATTTTGTTTGGATTAATTTGCTACTAATTTTGTTATTTTCACTCCTATTATGCTACTGAGTCGGGTTGGAATTACTTGTGACGACTAACCCACCCATTGTTGGTGCTCATCCTTCTTTGTCATTATGATTAATCTTCTCTTTTCCCACTTATTTGGTTTATCTTATGCTTTATTTGGGATAATTTTTTTATTATTTCTTCAAATTTTTTTATAAAAAAATTTAATTTTTTTATAAAAAATTATTTTAAGAAACAGTAAGAAAATCGTCCCCAATGAAACCTTACCTACTAATCAATCTGTCAGATCTCTCGAATTCAAAGTTTCAAGCCCATTTTAATGCTTGAAAAGTACCCAAAAAATCACACAACTTAGGTATGAGCAGTACAGCCTACACCTGATTCGATGCCTTTTAGTTCGTCAATAAGCCTATTTTATATGCTGACCCATTTTAAAACTATTTGATAATGTCAGTGAACTAATTTAGGTTTCGTTTGGGACGGCTTTTTTACTATTTTTTAAAGCATCTTTTTGTGCAAAAAATAAAACAGCTTTCTTACAATTTTCGTACAAGAAAATTGTTTTAAGAAGTAGTAAGAAATCCGTCGCCTTAGTTTAAGTATAAAACAAATTATTTATGCATGTGTGAATAGCAGCAATACGATCTCAGAATCTTTATAATAAAGTCGAAGAGTTTTTTTTATAAAAAAAGCTAATTGATAACCATCAGTAGAAGATTTCGGCTTCGTTTGGGACGGCTTTTTTATTGATTTTTAAAACGGAGTTTTAGTACAAAAATAAAAAAATTTGTACTAAAACTCCGTTTTAGAAAGCAATAAAAAAGCCGTCCCAAAAGAAGCCTTTATGTACAAATTAAATACTATTCGAAGTTACATAACTGAAAAGCGTTAGCAAGTGATGTAATATTTTTAGGATTTGTTTGAACAATTTTCTCACTGTATTTAATTTTATTTAGGTACTATTTTTATTTTTTTTTATTACTTTCAAAAAATTTATGATCAAAAGCTGTTTTTTATAATTAAATTAGTTAAATAATTTCACGATAAATTTTATAAAATATTACAATAATCTCAAATAAATCCTTAATCAACCTTTCCAATTTTGTCATCCTTTTTATAAAGTTTGCAAAATCATCTGAATCATAAACTTGTGTCTACCTTTTATGTGGAGATAAGACTAACAGCAACAAAGATAATAGAATTCTTCTTATTCTAATTAAATCTTATAACCTCGCATTATTTTTGCTATTAATTTAGAAAAAAAATTATTTTTCCTACAAATATTTTTAAAATTAAAATGGTATTTTTGTGAGCTTGAATTGAAAATTTCAATCGCTTGTCTATTAATCTCTATGAAGGTGCCCTTTTCCTATGGCAAAAGATCTTGTGTAATGTTGATTACAAAGAAGCTTACATTATCTAGTTATTTTTTAGTTAGACCAACATTAATGGAAAATAATATCTTAAGAAGAGGAAAATTGAGGTGAAAGGTTTGTTTCTTCTATTTTTGGACTTATTTGAAGAAAATTTGATATATCTTATTTCGCTACCATTATAAATTTAGAGAGAACATAAACCCCTTATATTACATAAAATTAGGTACTTATTGATTATCTTGACCTTAGCCACTCTGTAGAAGAGAAGGAAATTCAAAATTTATTCATATTCTTTAAATTACATTAGAGGTTTGTCACAAATGATATGACAAAATTATAGGTACATATTGACCTCTAATTTTAAACTTGTAACAATAAGCAATTGATTGGGTGTGCCTTCTTGGTGCTTGGAAAGTATATAACTATTTGAGTTGTGGTTTTTTAAGCTAGGCATTGCCCGATGTTATACTTATGATTGACTAAAGGTGTCTCTTTATTGGGGGAGTGTCGAATTATCTAGGTTCAATAGAGCAAGTGGTTTGATGGCTATAGTATTGGCTTAATCATGTTGAGCTATCTTTAATTATTGGTTAATACACTTGATCTTCATCAGGTCGATGCAACTATAGTTTAAGATATTCCTATGCTAAGAGATTGTGTCATGTGTTATCAATTTGACCCAAGAATGACTGAGTTCTGCATTAATACTAGTTTTACTTGGCATTGTTGATACAATCAATTATCTTTATTCTTATTATGAAGACAAGGATGTGATGCAATCTTATAAAGTGTGTAGATTGACAGCCTACACTATATCATATTTTTTTATTCTAAATTAGTGAGTAGTGTTCAAAAAACATTCTTTTTCATTGAATCATTCTCTTATAAGAAAATACATCCTTCTTCTATCATGATGAGCTCAAACAAAAACTTTTCTATAAAAGAGCCATTTATATAAAAGGGAAAAGGAGACTTTTATGTTCATCATTCATGCTACCTCTAGCTCTTACATTGTCACCTTCTTTTCCTTTTTCCATACAAAGGCTACAAAAGCAAGCAATATCATGCCTCTCATCAAGAAATAAGATATTATAAGTCAGCAACATCTATAATAGATGAATCTTTTATAAATACTATGATGGGAGGAGAAGATGAACATAGTAAAGATATCTCTACAGTGATAATTGAGCATAATGAATAATAATAACTTGATTACCATGCTAAAATTTGTGTTCCATTTCTACCATTAGTGTGCATTCTTCCCATTCTTTTGACCTCTGCCCAATTTAAATTTTCATCATGATTAAGACCACTGAGTTCATTGACATTGATTTTAATTGTGGTGAATTAGATGTCAACCATAATGATTTAGTCATTATAAGTCAACAACGATTAATAAAGAAGAAGAGTTTAAAACTATTTGCAGGATGATGTGGAACTACAATAATAAGATAATAAAGTTTGAAACCCTCAAAGATCATTTATTACTTATGTCCAATGCTAATGGTACTTATCAAGGTCGCAACCTCTCCTCTCTTCATAAATGGATTTATTTAATTAAATATTAAATAATAAATATTGAGAAAATTAAGTTTGAGTACATAGTTATCTCTAATGATATTATTAACCTAAAGGCAGCTATAGATATTATGAAAAACCTCTTCAGCGTTATAATAAAAGGAAAATAGTGAACTTGGGAATCAATATTTGAGAGATTATGCCTAGAGGCCAATAAAGAGCATTTATAATAGTAATCTCACTCTCCATCAACTGACTTTTGTAAACACAACTTTCTTGATTGAACCCAAAATAATTGATTTTTGTTCTTATTGGTTGAAAGCAAAAAGTTTTGTGATGATGAACCAATTCACCAACCTATCCACACTATAAGAGATTGAGGACAATCATCTTGATTAGATGCCTCAGGATGATCACAATCTAATAGGAAAAGTTAATTTAGCTTAATTTAATTAAGTGTTCTCTTATAGATATCAGGTCACCTATATTGAAATATGGGAGCCTGACCTAGTATTTTGATGATTACATAGATTATTGAATTGATCATTACTATTTTCTACTTTATATATATTACATATATCTTTTATTTGCGATTAATATTCCAGGAGCAACATAAGTAGAGCTGGATCAAGAAGCAAACTCAAGAAAGTGCAGTATTGAGTCTATTTAAAATTGTAACAATAGTTTGTATTTTTTCTTGAGTCATTAATGTTAATAGGTATATATAGGCAAAACAATCGAGCATACACTCCCAAAGGAGGTGAAATTTAAAACTTGAATTCTTTGTTAAATCGTACTATTCAACCCCAATCATATTGTATAATTTATTAATCAAAAAATTAATTCAAGTGTTTAATTGATTAAATAGCTTAACATTATAACTAATCATATTGTACAACATACAATTATATAAAATGATTAGTTATTTTGATAAAACCTTATAAAAAATAGGCAAATTTAAACTAATCATATTGCACCAAAAATCTTATACTATACGATTATTAATAAATATTGCCTAATTTTATCCATAGATTAAGGAATAGAAGCAGTATTAAATCTTGATTAAATATCATACTATATAATATAAATCATACAGTTCAATTTAACTGTGCATTCACCAAATGACCCCTTGTCCATCCTAGACGATCTCTTATTTGATATAATTGATCGTACTATATGACTAAATTTCATATAGGATGATCTAAAATGAGAGTTAAATGTTGACCTCGATTTTGGCTCGAGCGTGCTCGAGCTCGTTCGGTCGATCCAATTGAACCCCGACTCGAGCCGGATCAGACTCGATTGTGTCCAATTAGACTTGATCAGTCTATTTTGGTCGCGTCGTGTCCTATTTGATTTAATTTGATTATTATCCCGGATTCAATTTCGCCCGATTAAGTTTGTCGAGTCAGCTCGAACCCGAATTGACTCAAATTTACCCAGATTTTGGACTCGGATTTAACCCGGTTTTAGCCGTTTTGGCTTGACTCAGCCCAATTTATTTGTCAGTTGAAGCCCTTCTGACTTTCTTAGTAATTCAAATCAACTGCCTAAATCAAGCATGCAATCGAGCGGTCCGGGTTGAATGAGTAGTCGGCACGGTCCCTGAGGCTCGCGATCTGCT